AAAAAAGGTAATAAAAATGGAAAAAAATAGTAAAAATAAAAAAAATAGTAAAAATAAAAAAATAGTAAAAATAAAAAAATAGTAAAATAGAAAAAAATAGTAAAAATAGTAAAAATAGAAAAGTAAAAAAAAATTGGAGAAATAATTTGAAGAAAGTTATTCAATTTTTATGAAATTGAATAAAATTTTTGTTTAGAAGGAATTTGCATATTCTACAAAGAGAATTGAATTTTAGAATTCAGAATTTAACTGGACATATTAGATTAGAAATTAATTAAGGAAAAGTTAAATAAAGGGAAAATTAATTTATTTTATAAATGATGGTTCGACATTATGAACAAAAGTGCATTAAACTCTTTCACAATGAACGTATTCAAAGTATATTAAACTTAGAGAAAAAAGTTTTCTTCAAGACTGAAGGTTTTCCACTTTAGTAACTCTGACGTTTGACAATGTAACTTACGACTACATATATTGCCCTGTGTTTTAACTTTCAAAAAAAAAAAGAAAAAAAATTATCTTGTCCACAATATTGTTAAACTTTCCCGTCACGTAATTTAACTTTTCCCTCGACAGTAAAATTTTTTTCAACATGAAAATCCAAATTTAAATAAAAAATGCCTCATAACAAATGAATCTTTTATTTATAATTCTGAAATTAAATTCAAAATTCAGAAAAATGGCAAAATTCGACTTCATTTGAATATTTGGGAGAAAAAAAAATCTCTTTTGTATTAATAATAGAAAAAAATGTATAAATAGTCCTGTAAAGATTTTTTTTTTTAACGAGAGTCTCGAGTTTAAGAAATAAAATCATAGAATAAGCTATAGAGTAAGAGATTTATTTTTTGTGAGATTGGACAATTTTTGAATGATAGACTACTGGTCGAGTTTCGAGCTTCAATGAATCGAGAGGAACGTAACTGGCCTCGATTCACTCGTCTGTGTAACATTGATGGTCACATGGATTTACACCCGTACAAAGTACCTTTATAAATCTACAAGAAGTATCTTTACACTCTGCAAATGTTCACAAGCAGCAAAAGCATGAATACACGTCTTTATGAGGAGACGCATTCTATCGAGAACTAGAATGTGAGAAACGTATAAGGGACAAAAGAGAGAAGGAAAGAAAGAGAAAAAAAAACAATAGTCAAATCCATTGTCTCTCGAATTATTTTTTGAATAAAAAAAAAAATTCAATTTCCTTTCATTATCCTTAAAAGTCTAAATATACGACAGTTTTAATTCAACACAGACTTCGCACTCGATAATTAATTTTAAAAAAGTAGCTTTTAAACTAAAAAAAATAGTAGTCAGGGTTGTCACGCTTTTGATCTTTTCAAATTCCATGACTTTTCCAGGTTTTCCAGGTTAAAAAACGAAATTTTTCCAGGTTTTTAAAACTACATTTGTATTTTACAAAATTTTTGAATTCAAACCTTTTTGAAATTAAACATCTTATAAAAAATTGTTATAAAACATGAAAATATCGATCACTCCGAGTCTTCGACTCGGAGCAATCGATATCTTCATGTTTTATAATAATTAAAAATGTTGAACTGATAAAATCGTCATTTTATACCTATTATAAAAATATTGTTACTCTAACTTATTCAAAATTACTTTCATTATTTTAATTCAATTATTGTTTTCCAGAATTTAAAACTAAAATTCTTCTTTATAAAGTGTAAATTAATTATTATTAATAATTTCTGAAAAATTTCTTTCAACATTTTCAAATCCTTTTGTTTACAATTCAATTTTTACGAAATTTCATCGATTATTCAGAAAATTTTTCAATCAAATATATATTAGAAAATAGAAACTTGAAATAACTTAAAAAAAATTTCAATTCAACTTTTACAAAAAAATTAAATCTACACAATTTTAAATTAAAAGTATAAAAAATTCAAACATTCAAAGATTATAATTCGAAACCTTTTCAAAACTCCATTATTATCTAAAGTTTCGACTGAAATTCATATTTCAATCAATTATTATTAGAAAATTCTACGACAATTCAATTATTTAAATACAAAAAAAATAATTTATTGAAGAATTCAATGTTTTTTAAAATTCAACTCTCATTTAAAGAATTTTATCAACAAATTTTTAAATAGGTCATTAAAATTCTTTTGACGAATTTCAATAAAATTTTTAAGAAAAATTTCATTTTTCGAAAAATTAGATTAAAAATGTACTAAAAATAATTGAATTTCTGTAAAAAAATTTCATTGAATTGAGAAAATTTTTTGAAAATAATTGAAATTTTGTCAAGAATTTTATTAAAAATTTTTTAAATAATTGAAATATTGCCAAAAATTTTATTAAAATTTTTGAAAATAATTGAATTTTAGAGAAAAATTTTAATACTTATAATAATAATTGAAATTTTGACTATAAAATATAAATTTTATTAAACTTTTGACCATAATGGAATTTCTGCTAAGAATTTTATTACTTTTGAAAATAATTGAATTCTTGAGACGAATTTTTTAATAATATTTCTTTTTAAATACCTACCTAATTATTTTTAATACAAAAATAAATAATTTATTAAAGATTTTGAACAAAAAAATTTTTAAATAATTGAATTTTGTTTGGAAATTTTATGAAAATTGTAGATATTGAAATAATTGAATTGCGAAAAGTTTTGAAAAATAATTAAATTTTACAAAAGAATTGAATATAAATTTTTGCCAATAATTGAATTCTTGCGAACGATTTTATTAGAATTTTCTAAAATAATTGAATTTTTAAGAAGAAATTTATTACTTTTAAAAATAATTGAATTCTTGTGATGAATATTTTTATTTATGAAAATAATTGAATTTTCGGGAATAATTTTGTTATTTATCTTTAATAATTGAATTCTTTCGAAGAATTATTTATGTAAATAATTGAATTCTTGGGAATAATTTTATTAAAATCTAAAAGAATAATTGAATTCTTGCGAAAAATTTTAAAAAAATTATTAAATAATTTATTTCTTTCGACTAATTTATACAAATTCTAATTCAAATAATTGAATTCCATAGAAATTTTTATTATTCATGAAAAGAATTGAATTCTTAGGAAGATTTTTTCAAAAAATTTTGTAAATAATTGAATTTTGTTTGAAAATTTTATAAAAATAGTAGATTTTGAAAATCATTGAATTGCGAAAAGTTTTTTAAAAAAATTAAATCTTACAAAGAATTCAATTAAAATTTTTAACAATAATTGAATTCTTGGAAACGATTTTATTAGAATTTTTTTAAATAATTAAATTTCAAAGATGAAATTTATTAAATTTAAAAATAATTGAATTCTTGTAATGAATATTGTTATTTATAATAATAATTGAATTTTGCAAAGAATTTTATTAAAGTGCCTCCAAATAATTGAATTTTAGGGAACGATTTTGAAATTTATCTTTAATAATTGAATTCTTTCGAAGAATTATTTATGTAAATAATTGAATTCTTGTGAAGAATTTTATTAAAATCAAAAATAATAATTGAATTATTTCAAAAAAATTTTATTTGAATTTTATTTAAAATAATTTATTTCTTTCGACTAATTTTATTAAAATATTTGAAAACAATTCAATTCCAGTGAAAAGTTCTAATATTTTTGTAAATAATTGAATTCTTCCAAAGAATTTTAAAAAACATTTTTTTTAAATAATTAATTTTTTCGACAATATTAAAATTTAATTTTTAAGAATAATTCCATTTTTTGAGCAATTCCTGTAAAATTGTATTAAAAATAATTGAAATCCTGCGATGAATTTTATTATTTATGAAAATAACTGAATTATTGCAAAAAATTTTATTAAAATGATTAAAAAGAATTGAATTTTCAAGAAGAAATTTATTACTTTTAAAAATAATTGAATTCTTGTGAAAAATTCTAGTATTTTTATAAATAATTGAATTCTTAGAAAGAATTTTAAACAAAAATTTTTTTTAAATAATTGATTTCTTCGAGGAATCGAAATTAAACTTTTTAGAAATAATAATTAAATGTTTTGAGCAATTACTGTAAAATTGTATTAAAAATAATTGAAATCCTGCGATGAATTTCATTATTTGTGAAAATAATTGAATCTCGTGCAAAGAATTTTATATTAAAATTATCAAAATTAATTGAATTTCTGAGAGGAATTTTATTATTTATGAAAATAATTGAATTATTGCGAAAAATTTTATTAAAATGTTTAAAGCGAATTTAATTGCTGTGAAAATTTTTGTTATTTTTAAAAATAATTCAATTCTTCATAAAAATTTTATAAACATTGTTTTAAATAATTAATTTTTTCGAAGTATAATAAATATTATGAAAATTGTATTCTAAATAATTGAATTCTTGTGGAAAACTTTATTTGTAAAAATAATTGAATTTTTCAATTAATTAATTTAAAATAGTAGGTATTAAAAATAATTGAATTCTTGTTTAGAATTTCATCAAAATTTTTTTTCAAATTTGAATCCCCATGAAAAATGAAATTAGTGAAAGTATTTGAATTATTTTGAAGAATTGTATAAAAATTTTGTTAAATAATTAATTTTTCCAAAATTTGTTTGAAAATGCTATTTTTTTATTAATTGAATTTCTGTGGAAATTTTATTATTTTTTGAAATAATTGAATTTTAGCTGAACTTTATCAATTTCTTTTTAAATAATTGAATTCTTTTGCGAAATCTAATAAAAATACTATAAATATTGAAAATAATTGAATTTCAAATATTTTTTGAAAATAATATTGAATCATTTTAAAGAATTTGATTATAATTTTTAAGAATAGTTTTTTGATTTCTAGTATTAGCGAATTTAAAGTTGTGGAAATTCAAAAAAAAAAAAAAAAAAATAGTAGCTTTTAGTGGCTGAAATCTAAAAAAAGTACCCAAATAGTAGCATAACGTAAAAAAAGTAGTAAATAGTAGTTTTTAGTAAATGAGAGCGAAGTCTGTTAAAAGTTTAATTCTTTTCATATTTAATTATTAATTACTCACCTCGGCGAAAAATTCCGTCATGAAATCTTCGGGCCCTCCCACGGGGACCGAGACATCGTCGGCCACATCGTCCTCGTCGGACTGAGCCTGAAAAATAAATTAATATTATTTAATTATTAATCGAATCAATTATGAATTAATTATAAATTTATTATGAATAAATTAACGAATTAATTACTAATTAATTAACACTGAATTAATATTCAATACAGACATAACAAGGTTTTGAAAATTCTTCAGGGGGGGGGGAAATATAGACAAATCGTCAAAGTTTCTAGATGAATCAACTCTGTTCACGAAAGAGACTAAAAGGCTTAGAATAAAATGGAGCATGAATTAAGTATTCGCAGCACGTTAAGCTGGAAATACGAGACAAGATGCGCCAATTGAATATTTTTCACAAGGAAGAGTCCGGGAATGAAAAAAATAAACAGAGAAGAAAAAGACACCATCACTTGAGAAAATTGAATTAAACTCTGTGTTTTAATGTGTACAGTTAGGGAAAAAAAACTTATGAAGTATATTTAGAAAAATCTCCAGAATAGCGGATTCTACTTTTTAAATCTCTTCATGAAAAGAAAGAAAGTACAAGAGTTAAGATAAATTAGGTAAATTTTTCTACTTTCTCTCCCACCCCCACACACACACACTTTCATTATTTAAAATACGAAAACTTTTAAGTTATTCTTTGCAATAAGGATTATTTAATGTAAAACTTTGATAAAACTTTCATCTTCGAAGAAAGGATTTTCTTTTTTTTGTTTCAAAAATTACGCGATTTTTATCTCTGAGAGAGTATAAAAATTATAAAGTCAAAAATTGAACGCCAAGTTTTACGATTGAATAAAAATCTAAAAGTTATAAATTCTGTACTTTTTTTGTACCTCTGCGAAAAAAAATACTTCCTGTACAAAAAAAATATATACAATATTAATACATCAGGGTTGCCAAAAAAAAATTTAATTTTGTGTAAAGAATATTCTGATTCACTTTAAAAATTATTAGTTACTCAAAAAAATGTTCTATTACCTTTATTTACAAATTTCTTTAATTGAAAAATTGTTCTGAAACATCAATAACTTCTTTTTTAAATAAATATTTAATCATTATTATTTTGCCATAGGAATTAAGATCTTCAAAAATAAATAATTTATTAAATAATTGAATGTTTCTCAAAATTGAATTCTCACAAAGAATATTATAAACAAATTTTTAAATAATATTGAATTCTTTCGGTGAATTTTAATAAAACTTTTAACAAAATTACATTTTTCGGGGAATTAATTTAAAACTGTATTAAAAATAATTGATTTTCTGTGAAAAACTTTATTATTTATAAAAATAATTGAATTCTTATAATTCATTATATTATATTTAATTTATATTATATTTAAATTTTTGAAATAAGTAAACAAATAATAATAATTAAATATGTACTTAATAAGAAATTTTATTTAAATGATTTTAAAAAATGAATTTTTTCGAAAAACTTTACAAAAATTAAGTTTTAAATAATTGAATTCCTGTGAAAATTTTATTATTTATAAAAATAATTAAATATTTACAAAGAATTTTATAACAAATTTTTTTAATTATTGAATTATAATATAGTATTAAATTTTATTTTATTTTATTAAATTAAATAGTATTATTAATAGTATTATAATAGTATTAAAAAAAATTGTATTTCGAAAAGTTTATAAAAATAATTGAATCATTTGAAAATCATTTAAATAATTTATTAAAATTCTTGAAAATAATTGAATTCTTGTGAAAATTTTTATTATTTATGAAAATATAATTAAATATTTGCGTAGAATTTTAACAACATTTTTAAAAAATAATTGAATTCTTTTGGAAAATTTAATTAAAATATGTAGTAAATATTGAAAAGCATTGAATTAAGGAAAATTTTTGAAAATAATTGAAATTTTAATTGAAATTCATTTTAAAATCAATTTTTATTAGAAAATTCTACGTGAATTCAATTATTTAAATACAAAAAATAAATATTTATTTAATTAATAAATGTTTCTCAAAATTGAATTCTCATAAAGAATTTTTTCACAAAAAATTTTAAATAATTGAATTCTCTCGACGTATTTTGATAAAATTTTTAAGAAGAATAATTACGTTTATCGAGGAATTCGATTAAAATTGTATTAAAAATAATTGAAAGTCTGCGAGGAGTTTTATTATTTATGAAAATAATTGAATTATTGCGAAGAAATTTATAAAAAATTCGTAAATAATTGAATTCCTGTGGAATTTTTATTATTTATGAAAATAATTGAATTATTGCGAAGAAATTTATAAAAAATTCGTAAATAATTGAATTCTTGTGAAATTTTTATTATTTATTAAGGAAAAATTTATGAGGAAAATTTTTGATAATAATTAAATTTCGGAAAAGAATTTTATAATTTATAAAGATAATTGAAATTTGGACTAGAATTTTTAGAAATTTTCGACCATAATTGAAATTCTGCGAAGCATTTTATTTTGAAAATGAATTTCTGCAATTATTTGTAACTTCTCCATAATTCAACATTTTTTAAAAGTATTTTTAACTAAAATTCTTCTATATAAATCCATTATTTTTAATAATTAATTAAATATATATTAAAAAATTTAACTAATCTCAGAAGAATAACTTTAATTATAAAAGTTTATTATAAATCTACGTTCTTTAAAATTTGAAAATAAAATTCAGCCAAAATAGAAATTTTATAAAATTGAAAATTCAAACTGACGTGTGTCAACCCTGTAATAATTAAACTACGAAAATATGAAATTTTAAAAATAAATTATTGATTAATAATGAAATATAAAATAAAATTTTTAATAAAATTATGAAATTTGTAATAAATAATAAAATTTAAACAGAAAAAATTCTCGGACTTGAAAATCGTAATCTATGAAAAATGGGAAGAAATTTATCGCTTGACAGTAAACAATAATTGATATAATTAAAACATACCGCGATAAGTCTATAAGGTATTCGTGTGAACCTGAACATATGAGTCACTTTTTATTTTTTCCTGTATAATTTTTTTTTCCTATTTTCAAGAGCGAATGAGAAACAAGACAAGATGTTGGATTTTTTTTTCAACTATGACGAACAATGATTAAGAATCGAAAGAGAATCCTTGGTAACTAATATGCGAGTAGCTAATGTGAATCGTTCACTACAACGATTAGTGCTCGTTTCATGCAAAGATCTAACAACATAAAATATACAATACAAGAAATAAAGACCTTCAAAGAGTGTCAATTTATTTAAATAAGAAAATAAAATTTAAAAAAATAAATTTTAGATTATTAAAAAATTTTACGAAAATCGTTGGATTTTACAAACAAGTTATATTTCACGAAAAAATACCAAGCACAATATACTAAACTTGATCATAAAGATAAATCCCTAGCCTTGAATCTTCAACAGTCAACTATTAAAAATATTTTCCTTACTCTTGCTTTTTATTATTAAATAATGACAGAAAAATATTAAATATCAAAATAAACAATAAAATAAAAAATAATAGAAAATTGTTGAATGACAATTAATCATCGTAAACGAGAAAGTATTAAAAACAAGGAAACGTGAATGAAAACATTAATTATTAAATAAAAAATTGAAATAATTATTACGTCAAACCTATTATAAATTCCTATTCATTTTTTAAATAGATTTGCCGTAATAATAAGTAAATTATAGATGACGACATCGCAAAAAGAAAAGGTTATTAGCCAAATCATTGTAGAAATACTCAAATGATGAAACAAGTGTCAAAAGGTAACAATAAAAAAATCCTCAATTGGAAAAACAAAAAAAAAATTCATTCACGTCCATTATTATCGTTATAAAAAATCATAAGAACAAATATGATTCATTTTCAGCTGTATTTCAGTATTTTTACAAACCTGACAAAATGTTATTTAAGTTTATGACTCAATGACGAAGTCTAATAAAATTAGTTCAAGTCACAATTAAAATTAAACTAAAAATTAAAATATTAAAAAAAAAAATATTTAAAAATAATTTTTGAAAATATTTAATTCAAAGTTTTAGCAAAATTAGAAAATATTTAAAATCTGAATTTTTTTTTTAGAAATAAATGATGAAGAAAAATAAAGTAGGATATACGTGAAATGACCAAGAAGATAAATTAACGTAATCTTGAAAACTTGAGAACGTTTTGAGAAACATATTAAACATTTCCTCGATCTTAAAAGGCTATTATCAAGTGAAACAAATTGGACAATTCTGAATTAAAATGGTATTCATTCCACCCGAGAAAATTGATCTTTCTCACAATCATTATTAAGAGAAAGCACTTTAAAGAGATAGTCGAGAACTTGATTCGCAATTAAGGATTGTATCAAAAACCATTTGACCCGGCTCTGCCGGCACAAAAGCATTTCTCAAATTATCAATTTCAATTCAAAATTTGAGAAAAAATTTCTCCCCAAAAAAAGGAGAAGAGAATAATTTACTCCCGTTTTTTAATATGAAAAAAAGGAACAAGACAGTAATTTTTGTCAACAATAAAAAAACAGGGGGGGGGAGAGAAAAAAAATAGAAAATCAATCAAATTTTTTCAACAAGTCAACTGTCAAAAATTGATTTCAGGTACGTAGCAATTAGTTAATTTTTGGGTCAGGGTGAACTATTAGGATTTTCTTTTTTTTGAGAAGATCAAGATTTCTAAAGATTTGTCATTTTTAGAGAGAAAAAAAAGAGTCGATGTTGACATAAAAAGAAATGTATGACCTCACTTTTTAGTCACGGTGTCGCGAGACTTGAGGGAGCCCGCCCAAGCTCGAGGACCTTCATTATCAAGCTATTAATTGGGCGGTAACGAAAAAATGATGATAATTATTTTTTCAATACAACGTTTTGACAAATATAATGGATGATGAAATTTTTGTATGTGACAGTTGATAGGAGAATATGATAGGGACATAAAGAGATATATAGACACACAAGAGTTGAATTAACTTACCGCGACGAGGGCTGCTAATCTATCCTTGGTCATGATGAGCTGGAGGAGTTGCGAATCAGCAGGTGTACGAAGCGGAGCACTTAATGATTAATCCCATTCACAATTTTTATCCATGTACCACGAACACGGTCACTAAAAACTAAAGGAAACGAACGCACTAACCGCGAGACACGATCGTAAAATCGATACACTCGCGAACTCGCCTGCTTCTGCAGTGCCGTTTTCTGACCGTGCGCATGCGCCAATGACGTCAACTCCTCCCAGGGGCGTGTGCACTCAATTTGTCACCCCTTTTTCATCTTGTTAAGTCTCTCTTTTTTCTCTGTAACAAATTAAGACAAATTTATTAGAATTTTTTATAGGTAAATCCGTTTCTTATGGTTGGACATAAAAAATTTTCGGGTAAAAATATTCTTGACAGTGATATTTTTCGATTTTCTAATGTCCCGCCAATAGACTTTAAGCCTAGTCCATAGCGGTAAAGTATCGAATCAGGTTTGCGATATATATGCGCGTAATTTCAAATAAGTTTCAAGTTGTATTTATTTTTAATTATTAAAATTCGTATTTTTATTCTTAAACTTTTAAAATACGAAGAAATACGAGAAATACCAATAATAATATGTGACTGTCCGCGACAAAAGGGACCTTAGCTCCCATGTATTTACATGGAGCTAAGGTCCCTTTTGTCGCGGACAGTCACATATATAGAAATAATATATGTAAATAAGCTATTATTGTGTGTATTTAAAATTACGCGCGCAACTCTAAATATCGATTATATTTCGAGATATAAAAATTCGCATAACTTCATAACCTTAAATCTTTTTTGATTTTGCTCATGCAATTGCAAATAAGTGACAGAAGTGAACGAATGAATAAAACATATTTAAAATGGTATTAAATCATTAAATCTTTCAAATCGTTAAATCATTATTTTACAGGTGAGTAAATTTGTGTTTTTAGATATATTTGAAGTAATAATACTCCTAAAAAGTAAACTGGCAGGTGAATTTCAAATAATTGTTTTACAAATACAATCATTTCTTTTAGTGATAAATCAACTTTTAGAGAGATTGGAGAGATTGAAAGAAATTCAAAAGATTAAAAAATTTTCAATATTCCATCGATGATAGTATAGAATCTATAGAATTATGGGGAGAAAATATAAAGTGACATAACCTAATTTTTTAGAGTATTTTTCGTATTTTTTTTAAAAAAACAGCATGCAAAGTATATATATTTCATAATATTTGCTAGAAAATGATTTATAATGTCTCTGTGATAAAAAAACAACTTTCAAAAGAAACATGAAGATGACTGTAATGTTGAAACGTCAAATTCTACTTATTCATCGGTAATTATTTATATTTACAATAAAAATTTTTATTTACACTTGAAATTATTATTTAAATAAATTATAACAATTTTTCACGATAAATATTGAAATGTCATTGAATAAAAATCGATGAATCATTATTATAAATTGTGTTTCCCAGACGAAATCTTGGCACACTTGACGTAAACAAATTGCGACCGGAACTTGTTCTTAGCAATGAAAATCGTGCAAGTTGCATAGAAAAATTAAAAGCCTATAAAGTTCCAAAGAGATTGGATTTGAAACCAGTGAAAAAAGCGGCAATTTTGGCACCGCTTTGTACTTATAATGGAGAATTGGGATTTCTCTATACACTACGATCGTCGAGACTCAGTTCGAATCAAGGTCAAGTTTCCTTTCCGGGTGGAATGCACGATAAAACGGACGCAAATTTAATTGACACGGCGCTAAGAGAAACTTGGGAGGAACTTCGAATTCCCATAAATAATGTGAATGTTTGGACGAGTTCGGATTTATTTATAAGAAAAGACGTGAGTGTATTGCCAGTGCTTGGCTACATTGGGGAAATTGATCCCGAGAAGCTCAATATAAATACTCGTGAAGTCGAGTCTGCCTTTGTTGTCACATTGAAAGATCTTTGCGATCCTTCTTTATGTCGTTTTACACAATTTCGAAATAATTTCACACTGCCAGCTTACCTGGGTGGTAAATATCGTATTTGGGGATTGACTGCCGCGATAACGCACATGATGATGACGACACTTGTACCCAATTGTTACACTCATAAAATTACGTACCTGAGACCTATAGCAACACCACTATGACAATTTTTTCGTTTTTCCTTTTTTTTTACCTCTAGATAGTGAAAAATAATAATTCTATTAAATTTTTATTCGTCCTCACAAAGAATTGTATATTTTTGTTTTATAAAATAATTATACAAAAATGAAATAATAAAAGTTTTACTATTTTGTTTACTTTTAAAAAAAATTTTTAACACAGGGTTATGCCAGAAAAAATTAATTTTCTTTTTCCCTGATTTCCAGACAAAAATTTAGATTTTTTCCCAGACACTAAAAAATATTTTGATTTACTCTAAAAAATAATTAGATACTGAAAAAAAAATATTCTAATACTTTTATTTGCAAATTTCTCTAAAAGTAAAATTATTCGAGAACATCAATAACTTAATTAACTTCTTTATTAACCGTTATTATTTTTTCATAGAAAAAAAGATTTTCAAAAATTTTAAATTCAAACCTTTTTGAAATTAAACAACTTATAAAAAATTGTTATAAAACATGAAAAAATGGATCACTCCGAGTCGAAGACTCAGAGTGATCAATTTCTTCTTGTTTTACAATAATTAAAGTTAACCAAGTGATAAAATCATTATTTTAAATTATATAAAAATATTGCTGCTTTAATTTCCTCAAAATTATTTTTATCATTTCAATTCAATTAATATTTTGTTTGCTTTTTAGTTTCTTAACTTTTTTATAATTTTTCTTTTCAAATATTTTCAATTTTAAAATTAATTTATTGAAAATCATCGAATTATTGCAAAGAATTTTATTATTTAGGAAAATAATAATTGAATTCCTGCAAAGAATTTTGTAATTTATGAAAATAATTAAATTCTTTCGAGAAATTCAATTCAAAGTGAATACTGAATATTCGAAACAATTTAATTCTCGTAAACAATTTTATCAACAAATTTTTAAACTTATGATTTACGAAAAAAAGTGGAATTATTGTGAAGAAATTTATAAAAAATTTGTAAATAATTAAATTCTTGTAAAATTTTTATTATTTATGAAAATAATTAAATATTTGCATAGAATAAAAAAAATTTTTTTTTAAATAATTGAATTGTTTTGGAAAATTTTATTAAAATAGTAGATATTGAAAATCATTGAATTGAGAAAATGTTTTGAAAATAATTGAAATTTTTCCAAGAATTTTACTATTTATATAAAAATATTTGAAATTTTAACGAGATTTTTAAAAAAATTTTTGAACATAATTGAATTTTTGCGAAGAATTTTATTACTTTTGAAAATATAATTGAATTTCTGCAATCATTTCTCACTTTTTCAAAATTCAATTTTTTTAAATGTTTTTAACGAAAATTCTTCTATAAATCCATTATTTTTAATAATTAATTAATAATAATAATAAATAAAAAAATCAGATTAATCAGAAAAGAACTAATTTCTATAATGAAAAACATCAGTTTAGCTAAAATATATCAATTTATTTGACGGTGGTATTTTTTTTATAGTTAAAATTTTTGTCTTTTCTTCGTGCGGACTGGATATATATTTTACTTGATTACAAATAATAAAACTCAACATAATTCATGAAGTGGACCAAAAAGATGAACTGCTGGACAATTTTCGTCCGGATTACCCAAAAATTGGGCATATAATTCTTGATATCTCGATAATGTTAATCCACCTCTTCTTCTGTCGTCGTCCTATTAAAAATTAAACATGAATTAAACATTTCTCAGAAAATTTAAATTTATAAATTTATAAAGAAAGTATCAAATAATAAAAATAAATTAAATAATAAAAAATACGTGACAACTATACCAAATTAATGGACGATTTCAAAAATATTATAATGACGATATAAAAAATAAATTAAAAAAATATAAATGGAAAATACTTGAAAAAAGAAATTTAAAATATATGATAAAATTTACAAACATTTAAAAGATTTTGATAGGATTCGTCGAGAATATCAACACTGTTTACAGGAATTCTCGATACACAATTGTAGCGAAATTCGTCAGCAGCAATTACACCATCATCTACAAAAAAAAAACGTTTTGAAAATTCTGTAATATAAAATTCGATTTTTTATTATTAGATTTAAAAATATTTTAATTAAGTTTTAATTTTTCAATTACTTTTTCAGGGTTGCCACAAAAATTTAATTTTTAAAATTATTATAATTTCTATTCAATTATTAGTTTCTAGAATTTCTAACTAAAATTATTTTTAATAATTTTTGACAAAGTTTTTGAAAATTTTCAAATCTATTTGTTTATTATTCAATTTTACGAAATTTCATCGATTAATAGGAAATTCTTCAATTAAATAAATATTTAAAATTAATTTTAAAAAAATTTGAATTAACATTTTTTTAAAAATTAAAATTTCATAGAATTATTAATTAAAAATATTCAAAATTCAATTGTTTCAAAAAAATTGCAACTTAGCAAAAATTCAATTATTTTTTTACAATTTTTAACAAAAATTCTTCTCTAAATCAATTATTTTTAAATAATAGTCTTCTAAATCAATGATTTTAGTTTGAAACCTTTTCAAAATTAATTTATTTCTCAAAATTGCTATTATCTGTAACTTCTCAAAAATCAAATTATTTTCTGTTTCTTTTTTTAACTAAAATTGTTCTCTTAATCATTTATTTTTAATAATATTCGTCTAAATCAATAACTTTTAATAATTAAATATTCATTAAAAAGATTAACTAATTTTAAAAGAATTTGAATTAAAATTTTTAAAATTTCTAATTAAATTTATTGAAATTTCATTTTTTCTAAAATTTTAAATTGAAACCTTTTGAAATTCAATTGTTTATAAAAATTGTAAACAAAACTCTTCATAAAATTCAATTATTTTTGAAATTTTTAACTAAAATTCTTCAGTAAATACCTAATTTATGAATAATAAATTTTTTGATAGTTCTTCAAGAATTATGTTGTTGAGAGTAAATTATTGTCAAAAATAGAAAAATTGAAGATTTTGTAATTAATAAATTAATAAATTATTTTGTGATTATTTTCTAATTTATTTTTTAATTTATTTTCAATGGTTATTTCAAAGTTTCAAAAAAGACACCAAAATTCAGATTTTTCTTATGAATTCTATAAAAATTTGAATTTTTTTCAGTAACTTTTAATAAATTTCTCTGACTTTTCCCTGATTTTTTGTTTACCTATGGCAACCCAGCAGTTTTATAAAATTTAAATGATAATAATTAATTAATTAATACCGTTCAAATCAACTAATTTAAAATGACTGTCGATAAACATTTTCATTGATTGGGGAAATTCTCGATACGATCGTCCAACGCAACTCATTTGCACAGCTTTCTTAAATTCTTCCGTCGTCACAACTCCATCCTAAAAATTATTATAATTATTCGTTAGCAAATAATTAAATTTAGAAAACTAGAATTTTATCAATTTTTAAAAATCCCCATTTCTCATTTTTCTTCGTTTCTATAAAAATTATTGCCAACATATATTTTTAAAATTCCCCACTGTATTGAATTTTTATTATTGATCATATTTTTCTTCGGTAAGAAATAAAAGGTCGTACGTGACCCTAGTTACAGAATCGCACTTTTTGAATTTGTGCCAAGTGTTAATGTACTCAAAATTATCTCCGTTGACAGAAATATATACATTGTTTATATATTACTTTAGAAGAAGAAAAATAATTATTCAAATTTTAATATATCGAAAGAAAATATTAATATTTTAAACAAATAAATAATTAATATTTTGAAATTGTTTTTATATATCGAAAATAATTTTTCTTCTTGAAAATTTTTTTTTTTTCATTTTTCAAATTATTTTAAATTATTTTTTTTCAAATTACCTAACTTGAGAGATTTGGAAATTTCCTTTCGAAATTCATTTCTATTTTTACTAGACTTTGTAAATAATAGAGAATAGAGGATTTTACTTGACACTTTAGAAAATCGATGGCATTTCAATTGCGAAACAAATATGATAAATAATTTCTCGTTTTATACAATTCGAAAATACGTCGTTTTATTATTTTCCTGTTTTCATTGCACTTTTAATAAAGATTAATGCAAGCAGAGTAAAAGTGATATTTTTAATGATTGAATGTCATTTTTAGTAAATATTTTTTTTTCTTTTTTACTTATTTACTATTTTTCTTTATTTTTTTTTTTTTGAAAAAGTTTATATTAAATAAAAAATATTTTTCTTTTGTACCTTATTGAAATCGGCAAGTTCGGCAATTTCTTCCCAAAGTGAAAGCATTATGTGTAAATTTTCCTGATAACGATTGTAGTGAAATTCTCCTTTTCCTTCGATCACAGTCATTTTTAGAGCCATACATTCAAAATCATGTTGCTCCAGCACTCCATTATTATCAATATCTAAAAAAAATGAAAATTTAAGAATTAAGACGAGATTTTATTATATTTTTGAAAAAAAATATTCTTGAAAAATAAATATTGCTTTCTAAGAAATAATTTATTTTCTAGAAGATAAAAATTTTTTCAAAGTTTAATTCTTATTAATTGTAATAACTTTGATTTTATTTTTGTATTCGCACTAATGACCGAGTTCTAATGTATCATTGCCATTTGGCAGGTCATAACGACCACCTATAAGGGCGTTTAATTATTTCGCCCTATAATTCCACTTTCCTCAATATTTTTTATGTAACCAATTAAAAATACAGTGAAAAATTCTTTCGAACTCTTACTTTCGTAAAATATTTTCTCAATCAATAAAAAATAGAATGATTCAATATTCGGATTTCAATATTCATTAAATTATTGAAATTATTAATTCACTAAATTATTAAAAATATTAAATAATTATTTTGTGTAATAAATTTTACGAGTTTATTTATTTATTACGCAAAATAAACAAAAACGAATGTTAAAATCGTCAAACAAATTAAATAATTATTATTTAATCTATTTAATGATAATTATCTGTTTATTAACAATTAATTATTAATTAATTATCAATTGTGTCAAATATTTCAATTTACTGATTTTTTATTCACGCAAAAAGTAAAAAAGCATAAATATTAATTCATAATTGACATTGTAAGTTTAAAAAAATTATTAATTATGTAATTTAAAAAGAAATGAATTTAAATTTATGATTTAGTAATATTTTTAATTGTCCATTTTATTTTTATATTGTAATAAAATTTAATTGCAAAATAAAAAAAATAAAACTAATAAAAATCGAAACAAATGAAAAAAATGTAAATTCAAATTAATGTAAATGTTAATTAAATATTTGATTGTAAATCTAAATACTAACCGTAAAGAAATTTGACTATAAAATTAACACGATTATCCCAACTGTAGGCCATTGTTTCTTTCAAATTTCTTTTAATTTTTTAATTTTCTTCAAATCAATAATATTGTTGCTTTTCGTTAAATTTTTTAATTTAAAAAATCTTTTCCTCTTGCGTTGAATTCCAATTTGTCAAATCCAATTTTATCACTTTAGTCAGTAGGGAAAAATTTTGAAATTCTATTTTTTACACCAGAAGAAAATTTTTTTTTTTGATCACTTCATAACAAAGTTGAATCAACGTGCGGAGAACAAATTTGTACTGATCTCGAGTTGAGTTTTCGGAGTCTGCTAAGATTAGAATCTGAACGAAGAAGGGTGTTGAGTATAAGTGCGAGGGATTATGTCTCTCGTGTTATTTATCAAAAGAACCTGAAAAGAAATTTTTTTTCGATTAATTTATTCGTATAATTTTAACAATTAATTAAATTGCAAAATTCCACAATTTACTTAATATTAGAGAATTCTTGTCGAATAATAAAATATTCTTGTTGTTAAAGCATTGTGCTGAATTGTAGTAATAGTAAATAAAAAATAATATATAGAAAAATAATACTTAACTGGAAATTAAAAAAGTAAATGTTCACTAAACGTCTTAAAATAAATTCACTGTTTAACACTTTTTGTTAATAAATTGTTAGGTACAAAAATAATAATCGAAAGTATAAGAGAAAAATGTTGGAAAGGGAAATTAAGAAAAAAAAGTGGATACGGAACGTTGCCAGTCCTTGTAAATAATTTCGACGTGACCTCGACATCGAGCATCATTCTGTTGTTTCGCTAAATTCTAAATTCATCAGTTTAAACCAACAGTATCTACATTGTCTTTCACATATTAAAGGGAAAACGCGTGCGCCAAGGTATTTTCGTAAACGTGCTTCAAGCAACAAGGACATTATGCTCTCTGTTACCTTCAAATTCACAATAAATGACAATCACGATTGTTAATCAATTTAAACTAAATTATTTCATTGTCAAGTGCCAATCATTGCAAAATCAACTCAAAAATGACGAAACTAAACTTCAAACAAATTATTTTAGTTAATATTTCCTTCATTCGAAATTCCGATTATTTGTTTTTCTATTTTTCGACAGAAAGCAAATATAAAAAAAATAATGACAATGTTTTCATGGCTCGAAGTATTAGAACTGATTTTATTTACCACTATTGTGTATTAACCGCTAGTGTAAAACATTAATTTGATTTCATGCAATTATTAAATTAAATACTTAATTTAAAACAGTTTGTAAAATTAGTAATCGAAGTAATATCAAACCATTAATGGAATTATTGGTCAACTGTCAAAACAATAAATCTATACGATCTGTACGTACAAAATCCGATCAAAATTTCTATATAAACTTCTGTGTTATGAATAAAAAAAATATTAAAGAATTTTTCTCTAAAAGTACAGAACGTTCAATAAAAGCTATAAACACTTATTTATATGCTTTGAATGAAAGAAAAATAATAAAAACAAGCGCAAAAAAGATTTAGGTTAGGATGACACTCACCATTTTAAATTCACTGAACATAGTCACAAATCTACATAATTTAACTAACTTGGAAGAAAATATAAAAATAACTCACTGTTCACTTTTGGAAGTAATCACTTTTCTTTAAAATTTGATAAAACTTTTAAAACAAAGACGTTTTTGAACCAAAAAACTTGTAGAAAATAACCGGCACAAGACGATGTGACTTGTGCTCGCGCGCTCAATCGGAAATCCAAATACACGAACATAGTCACGTGACAAGCAGGACTAATTCTGATTGGTCACATAAAAAGATGGATAAAAATTCAAATTAACTAATAATGCAAATCTATTTTGGATAAATACAGTTGCTCAATTAAACCTATAAGTAATTTAAATTATGAAATAAATAACTTCTCTTTATTAATTCAAAATCCGTCACTAAAAATAGAAATTTTTTACTCTGTCCTATCCTAGGCGGGTAAAGTTACCGGAAATATTACCAACCAATAAAAGTAAAACTTCCATCAGCATCTAGTTACATCTAATGACTTTGTAATTTTATCAGTCTTTACATCTAATTAATAATTGTCGTAGTCAATTATTTATAGTAAAATTAACAATTTCAAAAAATAGGTTTTCTAATTAATTAATTAATCAATAATTAAGTGAATATTCAAAAGGATTCGAGTGTAAAACCTGCGCGCGCGCAACGAATTTCGATATCTCGAGATATCGATTTCCTGTCTTCCCTTTCACTAGTAAAAAAATGGCAGTACAAGGCGTACAAGGAAGTTGAGAATTTTCGTTTCTACGTCTAGTTTTCAGTTTTTAACGCTTGTGAAATCAAAATAATACTCAAATTTTTAGACGCGTTCTTCTTGCAGGCCAGGAAAAAGTATAAAGGCAGGTATATCTTGTTGATGTTAAAATCATTTTCGGTATGTCAGAAAGTGAAATCATAGCTCATCAACGGAAACAACAGCAGCAATTTCCACAGCAACCTGGGACTGGTCCTATGGCGAACATGGCGTGGCAGCAGTATCCTCCTCCAGATATGCATTTTTATTCTCCCTATGCAGGGTGAGTTCTCTTCTTCCGATTTATTTCAGATTTTTCTTCATATTTTTAAGAAAATTACTCAACTATTTCCATCTATTTCGTCGTATTAAAAGTGTGATTTTTTTTGAGATAAAAAAATGTCTAATTATAGACACGAGATTTTTGTACCTATGACGCTTCGGGGTTAAAAAGTTAAATTTCCTCTAATTAACTTTGATAATTATAATTTATCAATAAGGAGTAATATTTACATCTGTTTACACAAAATAGATGCGAAAAATAGTTCATGATAATATGAATTGTGTTTGTGATTTCGGAGCCCTTTGTATTGTCCACCATTTTTGAAGGTTTCATATATCCTGTGTCATAGTAAATATAGTTTGTAAATTCATGATTATGATTCGCGACATTTTATTAAATTCAATTTTTTTGATGCTGAAAATTTTATAAGCAATTAAAATGAGCGGATTTTTAATGACATTTCGATGTCAATATTGACTTAATCTATTTACCTCTATATATAGATATATACAATTACGAAACATTGTTTCATTCATTATGGCGCAATAGTAGCTCTTCCTAATTTTGGAATTTTCTATTTTTATCGACAGTGTATAGAAAAACATTACTGGAAATTCTAGTGTTTTATTCATTAATATTTTTATTAATTAAAATATTCCCACATGAATTTATGCATTGTATTGTAAATTTGTTTTTAAATTCAATTTATTTTCAAGGCTTGAATAATTACTTGTTTATATAATACGAAATTTTCTTCTATTTCGTCCTTTAACTTCGCTTAGAATTTATTTTATTAATTATTTATTTTTGATGATTTTTTCAAATGATTATTTTTAATTAATTTAATTAATTAGACAAAAAAATGCTTAGAATTAAAAAAAATAATTCAAGATCGGAAGTAAATGTTTTGACGTTTTTTAAATAATTGCATTGAGTTTATGTAAAAATTTAAAGTGAAAGGAAAAAAATTAATTGAGAATTATTATTTTTCAGACCAATGTATGGACAAGGGTTCAATCAAGGACAACAACCTTTTTATTATCATCCAGGAAAGATGGGACCTTATGGACCGGGTTTTAATCAACAACATATGCAGCAGCAACAACAACAGCAGCCGCAACAACAAATTCCACAGAGTCCGAATAATCAGGGAAAACAACCGAATCAACAGTCCCAGCAACAACAACAGCAGCAGCAAATCCAACAGCAACAACAGACTCAACAACAATCGGAGTCTCAAACTCCTGTTGCTAATCTCTTAGATGATGATTCCGATCTTCCACCTCTCCCCCCAGGACCCCCACCACCCGTTCAATCGAATAAACAACCACCTCAAAATAATCAAAATCAATCGCAAATTTATCAACATCAACCTTATTTTAATCCCTACGGGCACAATAATTGGAATGGAATGTACAACGATGGTTCGCGTAAGTTTCTTTACTATTTTTTTTTTTTTAATTTATAATTAACTTTCAGGGTTGCCACAGGTCAGGAAATTCAGGGGAAAGTCAGGGAATTTTATTAAAAGTAGTAAAAAAAATTAAATTTTCAAAATTTATAATAAAATTCGAAATTTGTGTGGTTTGTCTTAAAACTTTGAAATTACGAAGAATTTTAATTTCAAAAAACCTTAACATTCTTCTATTTTTGACAATAATTTTTTTTAATTAATTAATTCTTGAAAAACTATAAAAAAAATTAACAAGAATTTTAATAAAAAAAACCTTAACATTCTTCTATTTATGACAATAATTTTTTTAATTAATTAACTCTTGAAAAACTATCAAAAAATTATTACTTACAAATTAATTAATAAATAATTTTACTGAAAAATTTCGAAAATAACTGAATTTTATAATAGTTGTGTTGACAATTTTTTTTTTAATAATAATTGAATTTCAAAAGGTTTTAATTTGAAATTTCAGATAATTTGAATTTTTAATTAATTTAAATTGAAAAGCTTAGTTATTTGAAAAATTCTGATTGAAATTCTTTTTAAATTAGTTAAATTTTTTAATATATATTTAATAATTAAACATAGATTTAAAAAAGAATTTTAGTTAAAAAAACTAAAAAAACATAATTGAATTTTGAAAAAGTTAGAAATACTTTAATTTTGAAAAGGTTTCAAATTAAAATTTTTGAAACTCTGAGTTTTTAATACTTTTAATTAACAATTCCGTCGATTTTAATTTTTTTTTTTTTTGAAAAATTTTAGTTCCAACGCTTTCAAAATTAGTTGAATTTCTTAATAACTATTTAATTACTAAAAATTATTAATTTCTTGAAGAACTATCAAAAAATTATTACTCATACATTTTTTAAAGAACAAATTTTACTTAAAACTTTGAAAAATAATTGAATTTCATAAGAGATGCGTTCACAATTATTAAAAAGTAATTGAATTTGAAAAGGTTTTAAATTGAAATATCGGAAAATTTCAATTTTAAATGAATTTAATTAGAAATTTTGTTGAACTTTGTTTTGTAGAAAACTTTGAAAACTTTAAAATTAGTGAAATTTTTCAATATAGATTATTAATATATATTTAATTATTAAAAATACTTGATGTAGAAAAGAATTTTCTGAATGTTATTAAAAATAATTAATTTAGAGAAGAATTTTCTAAAAATTATTAAAAAGAATTGATTTAGAAAATAATTTTAGTTTAAAATTCTAAAAAATAATTGAATTTTGCAGAAGTAATAAATTATAATTAATATATAATTTTTGAAAAATTTTAGTTCTAATGTTTTTGAAATTATTACAATTTCTTAATAAATCTTTAATTATTAAAAATAATTGATTTAGAGGAATATTGTTTAAAAAAATTGATTTAGAGAAGAATTTGAGTAAAAAAAAAAAATTACAGAAAATAATTGAATTTTTGAGAAGTTTCAAATAATAGTAATTTTTAGAAATAATTGAATTTCAATTGCATTTTAAAAAGTTCAATTATTTTTAGAAATAATAAAACTCATTGCAGAATTTCAATTATTTTTAATACAATTTTAATCGAATTCCTCGAAAAATTCAACTATTCTTACAAATTTTATTCAAGTTCGTCAAAAGAATTCAATTACTTAAAAATTTGTTGATAAAATTCTTTATGAGAATTCGATTTTAAGGAAAATTCAATTATTCAAATAAATCATTTATTTTTGCATTTAAATAATTAAATTCTCGAAGAATTTTCTAATAAAAATTGATTTTCAAATGAATTCCAGTTAAAATTTTAGATAATAATTGAATATTAAAATCATTATAGCGTGAATTTTGAGAAATAATTGAATTTTGAAAAGATTTTACATTAAAATTTAAGGAAATTTTAATTTTTAATTGATTCAATTAGAAATGTCTAAAAAATTAGTTTTTTGAAAAATTTTAATTCCCATTCTTTTGAAATTTCACAAATTTTTAATTAATATATTTAATTATTAAAAATGATTGATTTGGAGACGAATTTTAGTTAAAAACTCTTAAAAAATTATTGAATTTAGAAAAGATTTCAAATTAAAATTCGAATTTATTAATTATTTTATTATTAGAAATAATTGATTTTGAGAAAAATTTTAGTTGAATACTTTAAAAAAATAATTGATTTTCAAAATGTTGCAATTTCAAATTTAGGAAAATTTGAATTAATTTAATTGGAAATTTTATTTATAATTTTCAAATTCTTTGAAAATTAGTTGAATTTTTTTATATAAATACCTATATATTTAATTATTAAAAATAATTGATTTGGAGACGAATTTTAGTTGAAAACTTTTAGAAAAATAATTGAATTTTGAAAAGATTTCAAATTAAAATTCGAATTTATTAATTATTTTATTATTAAAAATAATTGATTTTGAGAAGAATTTTAATTGAAAACATTAAAAAAATAATTGAATTTCAAATTTAGGAAAATTTGAATTAATTTAATTGGGAATTTTAGTAAAATTAGTATTTCGAAAAATATAAATTCAAATTCTTTGAAAATTAGTTGAAATTTTTAATATATATACCTATATTTAATTATTAAAAATAATTGATTTAGAGACGAATTTTAGTTTAAAATTTCAGAATATAATTGAGGGGCTGGATGCTATAATGTGTTACGCGCCATTCACTTAACATGGCGCGTAACACATTATAGCATCCAGCCCCTCAATTAAATTTCCGAGAAGTTACAAACAATTGTATTAGAAATAATTGATTTTTCAGAAGGTTTCAAATTAAAATATTCGAAACAACAATCTTTTAATATAAAATGATGATTTTATCACTCGGTAATCTTAATTATAAGTTATTTAATTTCAAAAAGTTTGAATTTAAAATTTTTGGAAATCTTAATTCCTATGGAAAAAATTTATTTAAAAAAGAAGGATAATCGGAGAAAAGCAAAATTAAAATTTTGTGTGGCAACCCTGACTTTTAATACAAAAATAATATTTTCTCATGTTGTCTAACAATGAAAAATATTTTTCTATTTCAGAATTTAACGGTCAAATTCGCTTCAATCTCCAGAACAAGAAAACCGGTCTCGGTTTTTCTCCTTCTGGAAATAGCGGTGCAGCCAAGAAAAAACGCAAGCGAAATAAGAATCTCGCGGCCCAAAATAACAGTAATTTTCAGGGGAACAATGCCTCATCAAATTTCATGTCAGGTCCCAATTTGAAATCTGATGTACCACCTTTACCACCCCCAAAACAAGAACCACCCGCAACGCCCATTAAGGACGAGAAATCATCCTCCACTGTCATTAATCCCATAACACCTGGAACGAATGTTCAATCGTCAACGGACGCGAAACCGTCAATAAATGCCAGTATTACCGGCGATTGGCCGGAAAATTTGAAAAATTACGTTAATCGTTGCTATGAGAAATGTCAAACGGCCGTCGACAAGGATCAGGTTGAAATTATTCTTAAAGGGAAAATAACAAGGGCGGCAAATGACGGATCATTGTGGGTGAAGGATTGGGATAATGAGATTCTACCTAGTATTCACAGTGAACGTATGACCATGACGATAAAACCTCGTAATTCACCCTTGAAGCATGGTTTCGCGCTTGTTAATTCGCAGGGAGGCCTGCGCAAGCCGGGCCTATCGACGTCACTTGGCGCAAGGCTTGGCGCGCGTCTCTCTGCCGGTCACAAGCGATCAAAATCAAAATCGGGTTCGAGGTCATGTTCGAGGTCGAGATCAAGGTCACGTTCACAATCCCGCACACCGCCACGAAAATATAGACGCAGTACATCCTCGTCATCGAATCAAAGCGATCGTGAGCACAACGATTATAAAACGACAACGACCACGACATTGTCGTCGTCGACGTCATCGGCTTCGGCGTCAAAATCGAAAAAATCCACGCGTAACAAACAAAATCACAACAAGAAAAGCAAGAAAAATAAACAGGTCAAGTCACATTTCTATTCTGAATTTGGTTTAGCGACGGGCAATGATGAACTTGGCTCGAAGGAGAAACTCCAGCAACGTGCAGCGAGATTTAATGATTCTTGCAAATCGGCTAATATTTCTATTCGGGAAGATGTCAATGGGGATTTTGACTTCACAGGTCTTCACATTATTGGGACATGCCAAGATCTCGAGAAACCGTATCTGCGCTTGACTTCAGTGAGTTTCTTTCTTTTTATTTTCTGCTAGTCAATTTTTTTACTTTTTTCTGACACGAAAGTTGATTGAAAACAAATTTTTTATTAATTTTTCATTTAAATTAAATAACATTTTTTATTTAAATTTTTTGTTTAATCAGGGTAGCCACATGTCAGTAAAGTCAGTTAAGTCAGGGAAATGGCAGTAAAACAAAATTTTTGTCAGTAAAGTCAAGGAAATGTCAGGAAAAAAAATTTTTTGACAGAAAAATTTAGAAAATTGAAATTTTTTTCAACTTATTTTTGAAAAGTTGCGACTTTTTTGACTTTTCCTCCAAATATTGCAACAAAATATATTTTTTAGTATTAAAAGTAACTCATTTCGATTTTTATAGTACGAAAAATAACTGAACATTCAAAAATTATTTTTGAATCATTTTTGTATTTAAATTTTCGAAATATACAATTAAAAAGATTTTGAATAATTGAAATTTTGTAAAATTTAAATATTTAATTAAAAATAATTAATTTTTTTCAAGTATTTTGTTAGAATTTTTTAAAATCAACTTTTGAATAATTTTAATTATGCAAATTTTAAAAATAATTGAATTATCAAAAATTTTAATGAAAAATTTTTAAACGTAAATTTAAAAATAAAAATTAATGAAAATTAGCTTTTAATTTTTTAAAATTCCATATTTTCAATACTTTTAATTATATAATTTACGAAAAATCAAATACATACAAAAAATGATAAAATTTTATAATTATTTTTAATGTTTTGAAGAAAAAATCAATGTTTAAAATTTTTTAATTAAAATTCACCAAAAATTAATTAGTTTTTTTTTTAAATTATACAATAATTCTTTAATTATTTTCGAAAAATTACATTAAAATATTTTTAAAAAAAAATTCTTAGAATTTTTTTATCATAATTCTTTAAAATTCAATTAACTTTGAACTTACGAAAAAAACATGGACATCAGTTAGAATTATTATAAAAAATTTAATTTTTGTATTGAAATAATTGAATTCTCGAAGAACTTTCGAAAAATTATTTAAAATAATTAATTTATAGATGAAGTTTAGTTGAAAATTGTATAGAAAATGCAATTGAATTCACAAAAAATTTTTAGAAATTATTAAAGTTCATAAATTTTACTCATTTTCCATAAACTTTCATATTTTCCTGTAAAAAAATGTCAAAAAATTATTAATTGTAAATTTTAATGAATAATTTTACTTATGAATTTCGATCAAATAATTGAATTTTTCAAGATTTGTGGTTAAAATTGTCAAAAATAATTGATTTTCAAAAGGTTTCAATTTGAAAGTTTAGAATAATTGAATTTTCAATGAATTTAATTAGAAATTTTTAAAAAACTCAATTTTTGAACAATATTTTAATTCAAATTCTTTTGAAGTAATTGAATTTTTCTAACATGTATATTTAATTATTAAATATAATTAATTTAAAAAAGTATTTTAGTTAAAACTGAAAAAATAATTGATTTAGAGAAGAATTTTAGTAAAAACTCAACAAAAAAAATTGAATTTTGGAGAATTTACAAATTAATTGAATTTTCAAAAAGTTTCAAATTAAAATCGTTGAAAATCTGGAAATTTAATATTTTTATTAACAATTTTGTCGAACTAATTTTTTCTAAAAATTTTAACTCCAATTCATTTGAAATGAGTTGAATTTTTTAATAATATATTTAATTATTAAAAATAATTAATTTAGAAAAATATTATAAAAAGTAATTGATTTAGAAAAGAATTTTAGTTAAGAATTCTATAAAATAATTGAATTTTTGAGAATTTGCAAATAATAGTAATTTTTTATAAATAATTTAATTTCAAAATGTTGAATTTCAGTTAAAATTTCAATTATTTTCAAAAAATTTACCTAATTTAAGAATTTTCAATATCTACTATTTTAATAATATTTTCCAAAAGAATTCAATTATTTAATAAAATGTCGATAAAAATCTGCGCAAACATTTAATTATTTTTGTAAATAATAAAAATTTCACAGGAATTCAATTATTTAAAAAGATTTTTTTTTAATTTACTTCTTAAGTACTTGCATATTTAATTATTATTAAATATTGTTTATTTTCTTCAAAAATTTAAATAGAATTCTTCTCAAGAACGCTCAGGGAAAAAATTAAAATTCTATCTTGAAATGGGGGAAAGTCAGGGAAGAAATTTTACACTTAGGGAAAAAATAAAAATTCTATCTTGAAATCAGTGAAAATCAGGAAAAGACAAAATTAAATTTTTATGGCAACCCTGAAAAAATACAGTAATTATTGTAATTTTGTCTCGAAGTAAAGTCAATCGCTATTTGTTTTATTTAAAAAGAAAGAAATAATGTAAATTATGAATTTTTCCAGGCTCCAGCTGCCTCTTCAGTGCGACCGGTAAGTGTATTAAAAAATTCTCTGGCTCACGTTAAAAAACGATGGTTGGAGGGTCAAGACTATCGTTATGCGTGCGATCAGCTTAAGTCTATTCGACAAGATCTGACAGTACAAGGGATTCGTGATTCCTTCACTGTTCATGTTTACGAAACACATGCGAGAGTCGCACTCGAACGTGGCGATCACGAGGAATTCAATCAATGTCAAACTCAATTACGAATGTTGTATCAAGACCTCGAGGGGAAAAATCGTTGCGAATTCATTGCTTATAGGATACTCTACTATATCTTCACTAAGAATTCTCAAGGTAAAAATTTTATTTCAATGACTAAAATTTGGATAATTTATTTCTAAATTTCTACTCTTACTACGCGTCACATTTAATAAAACAGAAAAAATGTAAATATTTACATTTTCTACTTCAATTTCAATTTCACATTTAATAAAACTAAATTGACTTGTTAATTAACGAAATTTAATTTTGATTCTTTTCAGATTTAACCACGATACTCGCGTCACTTACCGCTGAAGATAAAAAAGACAAATGTATTTTGTACGCATTGCAAGTTCGTTCCGCTTGGTCGCTCGGTAATTTCCATAGTTTTTTCAAACTCTATAGGGAAGCGCCACGAATGGCAGCATTCCTGATGGACTGGTTCATCGCCAGGGAACGAAAGCTAGCTTTAAAAACAATGATTAAGGCGTACGTATTTATTCAATTTTCCATTTGCCCCCCATAAAAACGGTCCCGAATTTCAAACAAGGTTTATTTCGCTTCAATTTTTTAACTTTACTCTCTAAGTTCTTTGATAATTCAGGAAAACAAAATATTTCTGTAAATATTAACATTTGTAACATATTATTGACATTTTCTTTATTTATTAATTTTTATCGCACTTTTTTTGTTTGCACATTTTTTTTCTTTATTTTAATTCAATTCAATTTTAGGCTTCGCACTCATCTACTAAAACATACTATTTACTACTCTTTTTACGTTATGCTAATATTTTGATACTTTTTTTAGATTTCATCCACTAAAAGCTACTATTTCTGTTTTTTTTTGTTGAGAATTTCCACAACTTTAAATTCGCAAATACTAGAAATCAAAAAACTATTCTCAAAAATTATAATCAAATTCTTTAAAAAGATTCAATTATTTTCAAAAAATATTTTAAATTCAATTATTTTCAATATCTATAGTATTTTCATAAAATTTCGGAAAAGAATTCAATTATTAAAAAAAGAATTGATAAAATTCATCCAAAATTCAATTATTTTCGGAAATAATAAATTTCTACAGAAATTCAATTAATTTAGAATAGCATTTTCAAACAAATTTCGAAAAAATCAATTATTTAGCAAAATTTTTATACAATTCTTTACATTAATTCAATTACTTTCACTAATAATAATATTTTTCATATGAATTCAATTTTTAAAATAACATTTTCATAAAATTCTAAGCAAGAATTCAATTATTTTCATAAATAATAAAAGTCATCGAAGAATTTCAATTATTTTTAATACTATTTTAAAGTAATTGAAAAATTCAATTATTTTCACAAATAAAGTTTTCCACAAGAATTCAATTACTTAAAATAAAATTTTCATAATATTTATTATATTTCGAAAAAATTAATTATTTAAAACAATGTTTATAAAATTCTTATGAAGAATTTAATTATTTTCAAAAATTTTATTAAAATTCTTTGCAAGAATTCAATTATTTTCAAAAAATTTAATAAAATTCTTTGCAAGAATTCAATTTATTTTGCATAAATAATACAATTTTTTGAAAGAATTAAATTATTTTTAATTCAATTTTAATAAAATTCCTCGAAAAAATTCAATTATCTTCATAAATAATAAAATTCTTTACAAGAATTCAATTATTTTCATAAATAATTCAATTTTTCGCAGGAATTAAAATTATTTTCAATACAATTTTAATAAAACTACTGAAAAGAATTCAATTATTTAAAAAAAATTATAATAAAATTCTTCCCAAGAATTCAATTATGTCGATAAATAATAAAATTATTCCCGATAATTCAATTATTTTAAGGCATTTTAATAAAATTCTTTGCAAAATTCTATTATTTTTACGAATAACAATATTCATTACAAAAATTCAATTATTTTTAAAATTAATAAATTTCTTCTTGTAAATTCAATTATTTTAAAAAATTTTAATAAAATCGTTCACAAGAATTGAATTCAATTATTTAAAAAAATGTTTGTAAAAATCTTCCTAAGAATTCAATTCTTTTTATGATTAATAAAAATTTCTCAGGAATTCAATTATTTAAATTAGAATTTGCATAAAATTAGTCGAAAGAAATTAATTATTTAAAACTTTTTATAAAATTCTTCGCAAGAATTAAATTATTGTTATAAATATTTAAATTCTTTCATGTAACATAATAAAATTTGTTGCAGGAATTCAATTTATCAGTAGGATAAGAAAAGAAGTAAATATTTTTTCATAAAAATTAGGAAAAAGTCAGGAAAATAAAAAATGAAATGGAATTTTTGTCAAAGTGAATTTTTCGATAGCTACTTTTTTACTACTTTCTTTTACTTTGAAAGTAATGCTACTTTTTAAAAATTAATTTTCGAGTGCGAAGTCAGCAATTTTTTTTCATTTTTTAAAATTTAATTCAATTTTCTACAAACAATTTCTTGATTTTTTTTTCTAAATTTTTTTAAATGTAGATTTGCTTATTTTGAAAGTAGATTTTTGCATACTTTGAAAGTAACTTTGTTTCTGCTGTGATTGACTAACTTGACTTGTGTGACTGAAAAAAGAAATTTTCCATAAGTTTTCTTTTTAAAAGATTCTATTCGATTGAATACTATGCTAGTCAATACAATTAAATTAATTTTTAATTTATAATTACTAATTTTTAATTTTTAATGGAAGTAGAAATTATAATAGAAATTAATTATAAGTTATAAAAGATAAATTATATTTAAACCAAAAGGAAGTAAGTGCAATATTGGTATTGATTCTAATTTATCGTGAAAAGTAGAAAAATATCTCATTGATGACATTTGTATTGTTTTCTCATTTGGGGTTTCGTCCACTTATTGCGTCACACTTTTAAGGAGGGAAGGGGTCAAGTAGTTTTGAGAGTGGTAGCAAAAAATGTGACGTATCAGGTGGATTGAAAGAGCTTTTCATTCTCATTCTTTTTTTGTTTCAATAAGATGTACACGAGGCAATTTTTTTGAGTAATTAATTGGAAATTGTCGTTGCTTAAAGTTTTGAAGACTACTAACCCACTAATTTAGTATAAATTTAATTTAATCTTAGAAATTTACCAGTTGACAGGAATTTATTAAACACAGTATTATTTATATTATTTATCTTATTTATCTTATTTACTAATTATAAAACATAATTTTTAGGTTTAAATTTTTTTTAATTTAAAAACTTTTTTTAAAAATTTAATTAGTTTTAATGAAAAATTCGTGTTTTATTGTCGTAGAAATATTCGTTTGGAGAAAGCAATATGAACCCTAACTAGATTTTTGTTTCAGGATAATGAAGCTGCATAAATTAATTAATGTTTTAATTGAATATTTCTAACCCTTCTTTTTTTTGACTAATAATGAAAAAAATGTCTAATCCATGTATTTCTTCTGCTGTTTAGTTACCGGCAAAATTTGGCAGTTGATTTCATCGTAGCGGAATTGGCATTTGATACGTTGGACAAGTTTTATGAATTTGTCTCTGAGTTCGGGTTGATTTATGCTGATCCACAGAAAAAGCAAATCGACTGCAAGACGAGTAGTGGTACGCTAGGTTCTTGGTAGAACGTCATCAACAAATTTTCCCCTCGATTCTTCTTCTTCTTTTTGGGGGTTTCGAAAAAAAGAGGACATTTAAAAAAAAAAGCGCGTCACACGGATTTAGTGTGTCAGAGGACGCGTGAATCAGTTATTTGGAAGAGGATTTGTGGTCAATATCCGCAACCCTTTTATTTATGGACCATGCGTACTTTTCCAAATGTCCGATTCCTTCACATTGTACAAAGAAAAAAAATTTCACATATTTAGACGTGCGAAAGAGTACAAAAAAAAAAAGAAAGAAACCAATCGATTTAAATGTACATTTTCATCTCTTCATTTTTTAAAAGAGATGCAAGCGTCTCTAACCCTTTGTTATTGATCTTTTCAATCATGATTTTTCTCGGCAAGACATACACATCTTTTTGTACATATAATTTTACAAGTATGTACGCTGCATTGTATATAGAAATCATCTTTATATTCATCGATTTAAATTATATATATATATCTATATTGATTTTTATGTATATTTAATGTTTCATCAGTACAAAGTCTGGGATCTTCTTCAAACTTTTCGCCTTTATTGCCCCAAAAAAAATCGCTCATCGAGTCGCCATTCCATATTTCTTACTTTGGAAAGAAATCAAGTTTTTGATTTTTTAAGTAAGCCCTTTTTATCTTCACTTTAAAAAAAACAACTTATGAGAACGAGAAAGAGAGAGAGAGAGAGTTCAACAATATTTCCTCGGAAGAATTAGTCGGAGAACACCAATTTATGAATTTTTTCGAAAAAGCCAAGTTCCGTGCCAAGGACATAGAACAGCAAAAAAAAAAAAAAAAATTGTCATATAGTCTACCACGAGAGAATTGGATAAATTTATTTTTCAACTTGAAGGCCCTTCTGAAATTTTCACTTTCGGATATTTGTGATGCTTTAAAAATTTTTACCAAATAAAAATGGGGAAGAATGAAGATTTATTGAGAGGGATTGAAGAAGAAGTGAAAGAAGAGTAAGGACTTTTAAAAAGACATTGTTTTTTTGTGTCAAGTGTGATACCTTCTCGAAAGTGTAGGTGAAAAAAAAGAACTCGAGTGTGAAAAGGCAGATTTTTTGAAGAATTTTTGTTTATGAAAAAATGCAACAATATTGTTTTCAGGATCAACAAGTTGGATGTCGTTGTACGATGGAAGGCTCATAATAAATTAAAATTTTTTTCAGTAAAAAAAAAAGTGTTCTCGTTACTGTTATTCCTAATGAAAAACAAAAAACAAAAAATTTCACGTTTTCTGATTGTGAGTTTAGAAGAAATGGAAATCTGGAAAACCTGGAAATGTCAGGGAATTTTATAAACTTTGGAAATACCTGGAAAAGTTAGGGAATTTTGTAAACCTTGAAAAAACCTGGAAAAAGTCAGGGAATTTTAATCGGAATCCTGGAAAATTGTTGTTTTCTAAAGTTATTGCGATTATTCTTGAAATCTTGTTAATTATTAGAATTCATAAGAAAATTTTGAATTTTGGCGTTTTTTTTTTTTTTTTTTTTTGTTAAAACTAGAAAATTACCACGAATTCTAATACAAAACCTTCCATTTTTTCTGACAATTTCATAAAATTAATAATAATATTGTCATTTCTGACAATAATTTATTTTAAATAATTTAATTATCTTTAACAACTATCATAAAGTTATTTTTCATAAATTATTTAATGAATAATTTTACTTAAATATTTAAAAATTAATTCAATTTTAAAAGAGTTGCGTTTATAATTTTCATAAGTAGATCAACTTTAAAATATTTTGATTTAAAATTTTGTAAAATTTGAATTTTAAATGAATTTAATTAGAAATTTGAAAGAATTTAGATTTTTGAAAAGTAAAAAAAATCAACTTAAAATTACAATTATTTTTAATACAATTTTAATCGAATTCAATAAATTATTGAGAATAAAAATAAATGAATAAAAAATAAATTTAAATATGAATTTTAGTTAAAAACAGTAAAATAATTAAATTTTTTAGAGAAGTTAGAAATGAAAGCAGAAAACAGAAATTCAATTATTTTCAAAAAATAATAAAATTCTTCGCAAAAATTTAATTATGTTAAAAAAAATAAAGAAAATTCTCGACAAAATTTCAATTATCTTTAAAAATAAAAGAATTTTTCTCTAAAATTAAATTATTTTCCAAAATTTCAATTATTTACAAAAATTTTCACTAATTTAATGATTTACAATATTAATTATTTTAATAAAATTTTCTAAAAGAATAAGTGAATGTTTGCGTGGAATTTTGTTAAAATATTTTTTAAAAAATTTATTAAAAAAAAAATTTTAGCAGAATTCCAACCAAACATTTAATTATTTTCATAAATATACTAAAAATTCAACTGGAATTCAATTATTTACAAATTTTTTATAAATTTCTTCGCAATAATTCAATTATTTTCATAAATAATAATATTATTTTTAGGAATTCAATTATTCTCATATTAATATAAATAAAACTCATCGCAGTATTTCAATTATTTTTAGTACAATTTTAAGAAACATTAAGTTATATTCAATAAATTATTTATTTTTATATTTAAATAATTAAATTCTCGTTGAATTTTCTAGTAAAAATTAATTTAAAAATGACTTTCAGCTAAAATTTAAAATAATAATTGATATAAATTTCTCAAAAAATGCAAATCTTTATAATTTTATTGAAATTCTTCTAAAGAATTCAATTATTTTCGAAACTTTTAATAAAATTCTAGTCAACAATTCAATTATATTCATGAATAATTAAATTCTTTTTAGAAATTTAATTATTTATATAAATAATAAAATTCTTTTTAGGAAATCAATTATTTTCATAAGTAAAACTCATCGCAGAATTTCAATTACTTTTTAATAGAATTTTAATCCAATTTCTTCGAAAAATGTAATTATTCGTAAAAATTTTATTTTATTTCGTCAAAAGAATTTAATTATTTGAAACTTTGTTGGCAAAATTCTTTATGAGAATTCAATTTTAAGAAACATTCAATTATTCAATAAATTATTTATTTTTGTATTTAAATAATTGAATTTTCGTAGAATTTTCAAATTAAAATTTTTGAAAATTTTAATTTTTCATAGTCAGGGAATTTTAAATGAGCAAAAGCGTGGCAACCCTGAAATTGTATGTAAAAAAATAGCAAATTTTTTTGTATGTATAATTTTCTTTATTACAGAAGTTCTAATGCAATATGTATATATTAATAGCTAACGTAATACAATAATTATTAAAATATTAAATAAAAAATTATAACAATATAGTGAAATATAGTTCTGTAGAGGTGTGGCTGTGAATTGATTATACAGAGAGTGATACGAAGCTGTTGTACTGAGTGATGTTGCGTTTCAAAATATCCGCACAAGGGCCCAAGACCCTTTCGAATCGTGCTCTGTCCAATTTCACGCATTTCAAAGGTCCACGAGCGACGACCGTCGCCGCTCTTGGTCTGTCCAGCAGCAATGCTATTTCGCCTGAGGAAAAAAATTATTTATTTAACAATTTAAACGGACACAAAAAATTTCTTCCAAATTTTGCAACAAAATACCAGATTTTTAGAATAAAATGCAACTTATTTCGAGTTTTATAGTGCGGGAAAAGTACAACTTTAGACAAATCTTTGAAAAGTTATTTTTGAATAATTTTTCTAATTAAATTTTTGAACTATACAATTAAAAAGATTTTGAACTATTTAAATTTTGTAAAATTTAATTGAAAACGAATCATTTTTTTCATGTATTTTATTACAATCTTTGTAAATTAACTTTTAGAGAATTTTAATTGAAAATTTTGGAAATAATTGAATTCTCAAAAATTTTAATGAAAAATCTTTAAGTGTAGATTTAATAAAAATGAATTTTGAAAAAAACTAATTCTCAGAATTTTTTCATTCTAATTTTTTGAAATTCAATTATTTTCAATATTATCGATTAAATATTTCCGAAAATTCAAATACAGACAAAAAATAACATTAACATTTTTTAGAATCATTTTTAATATTTTGGAAAAAATAATCATATTCAAAATTTTTAATTGAAATTCTTCAAAGACTTAATTAGTTTTTTTAAAATTTATTCAAAAATTCTTTTTAGAAATACAATTATTTTCGAAAAATTACATTACAATATTTATAAAAAAAACTATTTCTTCGAATTATTTTATCATAATTCTTTTAAGATTCAATTACCTTCGAACCAAGTAAATTAAAATTTCAGAGAAATCATTTTTAATTAAAATTCCTCAAAAATTTGATTATTTTTTTTATATTTTTTAAAAACTCAATTATTTTTATTTATTTATTTAAGATTCTTACATTTTGAAAAGATTTTATCAAATTTCAATTATTTTTCAAAGATTTTACCAAATTTCAATTACTTTTTAAAATATTTGACTAAATTTCAATTTTTTGGATATATTTTAATTTGTATATACAGTCAGTCCCCGCTACCTGCGCAACTCGCAACCTGCACATCCCCGAAACCTGACGCTCTGACGACATAGACCAAACTCGCTATGTGACTATACTCACTTTCACTTTTACCGCGTGCTCAGTGCCGAAAAGTGTCTCAGTACATAAGTTTCTCTTGACGACTAAAAATTTTTGTTGTGCCACAAATTAATTTAAAAAATTGAATTTTTTCTTTTTTCTTATCAATTACTCATTTGATACATATATTTTACATAAAGTATATTAAAATTAATAAATTTATCTAAACATTTCTGTATTTATAAAATATACACGCACTGAGAAAAAAGAATATTCATTTTAAAAATAAAGACCAGTTTGAGTGATTTTGTTTAATTAAACAGAGTTTGTAAGTTTCATTTTAATATATATGAAAAATATCTATCACTCTTATTTAAAAATATTATTTGCTTGTATATGATTTGTTTCATTTAAAAAAAAATTATATTTGAATTAAACATAAAACACGTTTAAGTACATAACAGTTTTGTACCAAACAAAATTTATGTTTAAATGAATTATATTTTATCAACTAAAAAATATGTTTGAATTAAACTTAAATATGTTTGACTGTATAACAAAGATAGTGAATTAAACATATTATGTTTCAAATTAGAAGTATCGTTTTCTCAGTGCGGGCGCCTACAATTGTATGCGATATAAGGGTGTATACATCCCTGAAAGTGGTGGGAAATGAATGGTGGGAGAGCGGCTGACTGGACTGTCAGGTAGCGAGTTCGGGGGAAAGGAAAAATTCTGAAATATGTGCAGGTTGCGGGGACTCACTGTAATTGCAAAAATATTGTCTTTCAAAAATTATTTAGAAATATTTTTCAAAAATTAATTTTAAGAATTTCTTTTTTCAAATTTTTGAAAATATTCTACTAATTAATAATAATCTACTTATTAATAATAATACTAGTTAATAATCTTTAAAAAGAAAAATAAACAGTTTCAATTATTAAAAAAAGTTTAATTTTTGTATTGAAATAATTGAATTCTCGAAGAATTTTTAGAAAATTATTAAAAATTAATATAGATAATTGATTTAGAGATGAAGTTTTGTTGAAAATTGTAGAAAATAATTGAATTTTGTATGGGTCATTAGTTGTAATGTTTAGAAATTAATTTGAAATTTTTTGAATTTTATTTCCCATGAAAAAAGAAATAAGAAGTATTTAAATATATTTATTTAGCAAAATTATTCGAGTTTTGATTAATTGAGTTTAGAAATCAGTGAAGAATCAGGGGAAAACAAAATAAAATTGTTTGTGACAACACTGAATTAAATAAACGACTTTTTTTCTATTTTCAATCGACTAAAGCGACTTTTTTGGTTCATTAAAGTCGATTCGAGGTCTGATTTTCAAAACTCAAAATTCTCGACCTTCAAATAAAAAGTAGATTTAGAATTTCAATTTCTTGTGAGCTGAAAAGCTTACAAGAAATTGGAATTCTAAATCTACAAACACGAAAGTTTTTTTTTATAGATAAATTACCTTTATTCTGAAAAAGTTTTTCAAGCGTGTAAAAAAAGTTAATATTTACCAAAATAATCTGAAGGTCCGAGTCGACCAACTTCTGCAGGTTCCTCGCCTTCTGAACGTTGTTGGAGAACAACAGCCGTACCATCGACAATGATGTAAAAATCTTCACCGGGCTCACCTTGCCGGACTATCGTTTCTCCATCTTCAAATGTCACCGGTTCCAAAGCATCTGCTACCGTTAATCTTTCCCACTTGTCAAGAGATTCTGTAAAACGATTTCAGTCAATTTATCAGAATAAATATCATTTCCGTGGATTTTATAAATTCTATTCTATAAAGAAAATTATTTTTACCTAAAATGGAAACTCGTGAGAGGAATTCTTCGTATAATTTCCGTTTTCTAATAGTAGAACCCATTAGAATTCTTCGATACGAATCCCTATCGATTCCCCAAAGTTTAACGTCAGTTTTCGCTCTGACAGTCGCTGCTCGTGGTGTTCCATAAATCAGAGCCAATTCTCCAAAACTTCCTCCCTCGCCAATAGTCGTTACCAATTCGCCATTCACGAAAACTTCCACTTCCCCTTGATCTATCACGTAAAAGTTGTCGCCTTCATCTCCTGCAAAATTCAATTTTTTAATATTAATATTTATTCTTTTATTATTAATTAAAATTAAAAATTGAAAATATTTTAATTTTTCAATTACTTCTTTTGCCACACAAAAATTTAATTCTTTCCCTTATTTCCCGAAGGATTTTTCACTTTTTCCTGATTGAAAAATATTCTGATTCGCTCTAAAAATAATTAGAAACTCAACAAAATGTTCTAATATATTTATGTATTTTCAAATTACTTTAATTGTAAAATTATTCGAAAACGTCAGGACTTCTTTTTTAAATAAAGATCTAATTATTATTTTTCCATAGGAATTAGGATTTTCAAAAACTTCAAATTCAAAAATTTACACAAATATTGTTACTGTAACTTCTTCAAAATTTTTTTCATCATTTCAATTCAATTCAATTATTTTCTAGAAATTCTTGGTAATTTCAAAATTTTAAGACAACAAAGTTCAGAAATTTATTATGAATTCTATAAAAATTAAATTTACCTTGTCGAATGATTGTTTCCTTTGGCGAAAATAAAACAGGGAACATTGCATCGAAAATATCGGAACGTTCCTTTTCATCGAGATGAGCGAACAATACATTTTTTCCAATTGCCTTGCTTAAAGCATTCATGGTCTTATAATCTTTAGGCACAACTTTTTTGACATAGTTCGTGGCATCCTCTTCAGAAACTGGTTCAGCGGAAATTCCTCCTCTTCTTCTCGGCACCTGAGGACCTTGTTGACCCGCCGGCATATCCTCTGTGTCTTCCGGACTTGTGGCAATTTGCTGCTTTGCATCGTGAGCTTGTTCCTAGAAAAAAAAGTTACATTTAATTTCAAAAAATTATTTTCTTTTACATTATTAACTGTAAATTAATTTTAAAGTCAACTTGAATAAATTAATATTTTAAATAATATTTCAGGGTTGCTACGCAACCTGGAAAACCTGAAAATGTCAGGGGATTTTATGAACCTTGGAAAAAGTTGGAAAAGTCAGGGAATTTTTATCGAAATCCTGGAAAATTTGTGTTTTCTAAAGTTATTGTGTTTATTTTTTCAATTCTTCTCAGAAATTCAATTATTTTCAAAAATTTTAATAAAATTCTTGTCAAAATTTTAATTATTTTCAAAAACTTTCCTCAATTCAATGAATTTTAATATCTACCACTTTAATAAAAATTCCTAAAGGAATTCAATTAGTAAAAAGAGTTTTTAATAAAATTCTACGCAAACATTTAATTATTTTCATAAATAATAAAAATTTCACAGGAATTCAATTATTTACAAATTATTCAATTATTTTCATAAATAATACCATTTTTTCCAGGAATTCAAGTATTTTCATAAAAAATAAAACTCAATGCTGAATTTCAATTATTATTAATACAATTTTAATGAAATTACTCGAAAAATTCAATTATTTTAAAAAATTCGCAAACTTTCAATTATTTTCAAAATTTTTTAAAAATTATGGTCAAAGTTTCAATTATTTTTATAAATAATAAAATTCTGCTCTAAAATTTTAATAAAATTCTTCGCAGAAATTCAATTATTTTTAAAAAATTTCCAAAAGAATTCAATTATTTTATAAAAATTTCGGTTCAATTTAAACCAAACTTTCAACTTTTTCACAAATAATAAAAATTTCACTTGAATCCAATTATTTACAAATTTATTAAAAATTTCTTCGCAGTAATTCAATTATTTTCATAAATAATAAAATTCTTTTTAGGAATTCAATTATTTTCATAAATAGAATAAACTTCTTTTTAGAAATTCAATTATCTTCATAAAGAATAAAATTCTTTTTAGGAATTCAATTATTTTCATAAATAGTAAAACTCATCGCAGAAATTCAATTATTTTCAAAAGTAGTAAAATTCTTCTCAGAAATTCAGTTATTTTCAAAATTTTTAATGAAATTCTTTGCGTAACAAATCAATTTTTTTCAAAATAATTTTAATAAAATTCTTCCCCGAAAACCAATTATGTCTAAAAACTAACAAAAAGTCTTGTCAGAATTTGAATTATCTTTATGAATAATAAAATTTTTTCCGAATTACAATTATTTTCAAAATTTTTAATAAAATTCTTGTCAGAATTTCAATTATTTTCAAAATTTTTAATAAAATTCTTGTCGGAATTTCAATTATTTTTAATATAATTTCCATCAAATTTCTCGAAAAATGCAATTATTCTTAAATACTTTATTAAAATTTGTCAAGAGAATTCAATTATTTAAAAATTCGTTAATAAAATTCTTAATGAAAATTTAATTGTTTAATAAAATATTTATTTTTATAGTTGAATAATTGAATTCTCGTAGAATTTTCTAATTAAAATTGATTTCCGAATAAATTTCAATTCAAATTTTAGATAATAATTGAATTTTGAAATGGTTTCAAATTAAAATTTTGGAAAATTGTATTTTTTAATGAATTTAATTAGCTGATAGTTTTAAAATATTAGTTTTTTGAAAAATTTGAATTCAAACTCTTTTAAAATTTGTCAAATTTTTTAATTTATATTTAATCATTAAAAATAATTGATTTTGAGACGAATTTTAGATGAAAATTCTAAAAAAATAATTGAATTTTGGAGAAGTTACAAATAATAGTAATTTTTAGAAATAATTAAATTTTGAAAGGGTTCCAAACCAAAATCCAAATTTTTAATACTATCAATTAACAATTCTATCGAACTAATTTTTTTTAAAACATTTTAATTACAATTCTTTTGAAATTAGTGGAATTTTTTTTATATATATTATTAATTATTATTTTATTATTAAAAATAATTGATTTTGAGAAGAATTTTAGTTAAATACTCTTAAAAAAATAATTGTATTTCAGAAGGGTTCTATTTGAAATTTTAGAAAATTGGAATTTTGAATTAATTTAATCAAATTTCTCGAAAAATGCAATTATTCTTAAAAGTTTTATTAAAGTTAGTCAAGAGAATTCAATTATTTAAAAATTTGTTGATAACATTCTTTATGAAAATTCAATTGTTTAATAAAATATTTCTATTTGTAGTTAAATAATTAAATTTTCGTAGAATTTTCTAATAAATATTGATTTAAAAATGAATTTCAAATTAAAATCTTTGAAAATTTGAACTTTTCATACTTTTAATTAAAAATTCTATAGACTTTATTTTTTTCAATTGTTGAATGGAATTTTTTTTAATTATTTGAAGTTTTAAATTTCTAATTTATTTAATTGAGGAATGTCAGAATAATCGAAGTTTCTGTAAAATTAAATTGTAAACAAAAGAATTTGAAAATTTACAAAGAACTTTTTCGAAAATTATTTAAAAAATTGACTTAAAGAAGAATTTTAGTTGAAAATTCTAAAAATGAATTGAAATATTGAAATATTAAAATAAAACGAAATTGAATAAAAATTGAAACGAAAATGTACTACTTATTCTTTGTTCTAATAATTGGGTTGAATTATTTATTTTGTGTACTTACTGACTTGTCAGTGGGTAATTAAAAATATATTTGTTTTTTGTGTCAAAGTTTAAGTACATAAGAGCTTTTCTCATTACATCTTAATGATGCATAGAGCTGCTGAAATATTGATCTTACAGTGACCTTAAAAAAGAAAGAGTCATGTGCCAAATTGTAAAGTTTGTTAAATTTTCCTCTAAATTAAAATTAAAAAAAAATATCAAAATTATCAAAATTTTATAGAAAAATAATCTTGAAAACAAAATTGAAAATTAAAAATAGAAAATTGAAAAAAAAGTATAATTATAAACTTAGTTGTAAATTTTGTGCCTATAATTACAAAAACGCAAAGTTCATAATAAATGTTATATCTCCTTTAAATTATTACACTCGGCATTATTATAAAACTTGTTCCACTTATAACTTTTCGAACAATTGTAATAATTTCAAATTAAATCTTCAACACGCTTTGTTTATTATTTATTTACGTTAACTATTTCTTTTACAAAAAAAAAAAAAATAATTTACGTTAACTTTTCCTTTTGGCAAAAAAAAAATAATTTACAAAATCTCACTTTTGTTTTCTTTTTTAAATAAAAATTCTTTTCTGCACTAAATATTTAACATAAACATATTTTAATTTCAAAATACTAATTTTCACCCTAACGAGTTTTTATGTTTAAAAATTTCTTTTAAAAATTAATTAATAACGGACACTCTTTCGGTTCACTGGTGGATTTAAAAATTTCTCACTCACTAACTTTCAATTTCAACTGCGCATAAAATTGAGAATATCAAAGAAGAAATTCGTCAAATAAAAAAAAGAAAAAGAGAGAAATATGAATAAAAAAAATGAAAAATGACATACATAATCCAATTAGATAATTAATTATTTTAATTGATCGTACTCTGTGTTCGCCAACCATTTTTCAATTTGTCGCACAACGTTTTTGATATGCGAACAGAACCGACTCAGTGAGTATTTGCTTGATTACAAGGGATGTTTCTCGCGCAGATTCCCCGCTTCTGACGTCATCCCACACGGATATATTTTTCAACCCTCTACATTTGTATAGATAAAACCATTAAATTAGGTTTGATAAAAAAAAGAGAGAAAAAAAATAAGTAAAAGATTTTTTGGGGTCAATCTAGTGGATTATGCTTTTTTTCTCTTCATCCCTCATTTTTCTTTCTTCTTTTTTTTTATATGTTTCCTAGCGAGCTTGATTTCACCCTTGTTCCGGAAAAACTTTTTATTCTTTGATAAGAAGCACGTTTTGAGAAACTTTTATGAACCGTAATGACATGAATTTAAATTCCCCCCAAGAAAATGGGAAAAAATTTCCTCTTTTCGTGATAGAAAAATATTTTGTTTATTTATTTATTATTATTTCTTTTTAAATTATTTCGGTGACAAATATTCAAAAAAACTTTGAACTATATAATTTAAAAAAAAAGATTACATTCGACATAAATTAACAATTAGTTAATTAAAGGAATTAAAATTCAGAGTTTCGAAGACTTCAATTTGATACCTTTTTAAAAATTCAATTATTTCTATTGCTATTGTTTGTAATTCATCCTAAAAATTTTTTTCCAAAAAGAGAATTTTTGACTAAAATTCTTCTCTAAATAAATTATTTTTAATAATATACCTCTAAATCAATATTGTTTTTAATAATTGAAAATATATTGAAAACTGCAACTAATTTCAAAAGAATTTGAATTTAAAGTTTTCCAAAAACTAAGTTTATTAGAATTTCTAATTAAATTAATTCAAAATTCCAACTTTCTAAAATTTCAAATAAAAATCTTTTGAAATTGAATTATTTTTTTTAAAAGTATTTAACGAAAATTATTCTCAAAATCAATTATTTTTAATAATAAAATAATTTATAATATATATATATAAAAAATTCAACCAATTTCAAAAGAAGTGTAATTAAAATTTTCCAAAAAAAATTAGAATTATTTTTAATAATTAAATAAATATTTAAAAATTTGACAAATTTTAAGAGAATTTGAATTAAAATTTTTCAAAAAACTAATTTTTTTAAAATTTCAAATTAAATTTATTAAAAAATAAAAGTTTCTTAAATTTTAATTTAAAACCTTTTTAAAATTAAATTATTACACACTGAAAAAAGTTTTACTTGAAATAGCGATAAGTTTCTCTAGAATAACGAAAGTATTAATTGAAGCACTAAAAAATTTCATAACGAAAAAAGAATTAAATTATCATCAGATTTTCTAAATTAAAAAAAAACGAATTCAAATAGAAATTAATCATTTTAAAACTTAACCAAATTCACCCCAGAAATCACTGAATTCGATAATTTAGAAGAAAGTCAGACAAA